GGGGGGGGGGGCAAGAAAAATATTTGTGTATTGATTCTGATCTGAACTTCTTCAGAAATCTAGCAAACCCCTATCCATTCACATACAAACCATGCAGTGCAAAACTTTTTTTTTGTCATCAATTCCCTGATTTCATTATGTCATCTATCGCTGTCCTTAAAAATAAGGGGAAACCCTGTTAATTTGCAGACAGATGTATTGTAAAAGGCGACCGGCAGCCGTTCAACTCCACTGTTTCTTCATCTGACAATTTCATATTGCAACTTTAAAAGCAATACAGTAGAAAATAATGAAAATATGCTGCGCACATAAAGCTCGTGAGCACTGGACTACTGGTGAAGGGTGGCTGATCAGGTAACAAAGACCACTGAAGTGAAGAGACACACTGGTTACACCTCAGAAATCCAACAATACTTTACACATTTGGACTTTACCTTGAAACAACGGCCACTTTAAAGCCACACTCTTAACAGTGCAAACTATATTTAGGAATAAAAATATTTAAAAATCCTGACTCAGTGAATACACTAAAATCAGTGCTCAAATCTTTTGAAATAGAGAATGCATCCTTTTTCGTTGAGAGTTCCATCAAATCTTGTCCGAATGTGTCGGTAAAGCTGTCAAAGAGGCAGATTTTCAGGTGGCTCAGTCAAGAAAATTGCTGAAAAAGTCCCCCAGAATAAAGCCTTTTTTTTTCTCTTTTTTTTTTTTTAAAGTAAGGTATAAAAGAAAACTTTAAACCCTGAAGTGTAGGCATAGTATGTACGCACAGTAAAAAACAATGATGTGTGTGTGGGGGGGGGGTACACCTGCAGTTTAACCTTTTCTCTATAAACGCTGGGTATTGCTTCGTCAAAAGCTTGGGTGACACAAGTATAAAAGTAAAGTGTATAATACAATGCACGTTATGAGCAAAGATCATTTCACACACTTCTGCAAAAGAAAAAGAGACAATGTGGTGAGTCATCTCTTGATATAAATCACACACATCAAAGCACTGACATGTAAAGATGTAAATTAATCGTTTATGAGCCGAGCGCCTCTAGAAAAAAAAAAAAAAAACAGTTAACACTGTCAAAATAATACAAAACAGGTCATTCTTGCACACACTGGAAACCAGAAAATATCCACCAGCTGCAAATTTTGACAGTAAATTTATAAGACCCACATGAATAAAATGTAATTAAACGAGATTCTTCTTTAAATTCGACCTTCTTCAGTATAAACAAAATATACATTAAAGAGAGAGACAGTACAGGCGTTAGCCCCAACTCTTAAATTCACAGTTAGCAATTAAATGTCAGCATTTTCGGTACAGTGAGAAGTGCATGAAGGAAGTCAGGACTACATAGTAACGACATAGAGGACACTCCAGGGGGTGCTATAGTCTAAGAAAAGCAGAAGGAAAAAAAAAAAAAAAGTATTGCACATGATTTTAATGTTGGACGCCTCCTTCCCTCCCGCCCTTCCTCCTGTTTCACTAAGCTGTTTCCAAAGTCCCAGCAGGTGTAGTAATGATGGAGCTTCTGATGACATAGTGAGCTCAGAACAATCAACCCTGCATCCTGGCACAAAAGCTGTCCGTAAGGGCTAGAGGAGTCTGGTGTGACAGCATAATAAAGAAGAGGAATAAAAACATGTCCACTGAGACAAGTCTACTGGTGTTATTGACATACCAAGGTACAGTTGCCCTCGGTAGATGACACAAGTGTGCCAATCAATCGCAAACGAGAAAACTGGTCTGCTATCCAATCGCCACAGAACTGAGTGCCTGCCTGAGAGCTCAGCAGAGAGGTTTTAGAGATAGTCGAGCAAATTCCACACAGGGCGGGGGCAATGTGAATCGGCTGGAGTCTTTGTGTGCTACTACATGGATGGAGTAGTGGGTGTCTGCGTCTTGTGGCGTAGTACCGACTCAGTTGTGTGGGACTTGAAAAGGCATTTCAGAAGACATGGCCTTATTGTAGAAACGGGCACCATTTTACTGTCCAGCACTTAAGGTTCTCAGTGGAGGAGAGCGCCGGTTGGGCACTGCTCGAGACAGTGGTGGTCTACTATGGTCTGTGAAACCTAGAAAGATATAATTAAAAAAAAAAGAAAAAAAAAAAGAGAGGTTTTGAAGTTTGAAGAAGAAGTCGGCACGTGCGTGCCAATATTTTTGGCTGCATTTGAAGTGATATCAATCATGCAAGCTGGTAGTTTGTACCTGGTTAAATGGCGACTTGATTCGTGCACTTCCATCTCGTTGCTCTTGAAATCGTTGAGTTCCTTCCTTATAGCTGCCTGCAGAGGACAAAGAGGAAGAAGACTGAGCGAAGCTGCAAAGACTTAGCTCACAAACGGCAGCCTTTAAGCCTCGACTCCTTTTAGTATGCTTCATGCATTATTTATGCTCATCTCAAAGCCATGAATGAGTCTTCTGAATTCTTTTCTCTCATCACAGGAACCTTCAATTTCCCCCTCTTGAGACTTCTAACAGCCCTAACATAATTTACAATCTGTTGATGAGTTACTTGGATAGATTCCTCTTTAAATAGCATTAAGTTTTGATAGCATTGATTTATATAGGACAGATAAAGAGAATACAGTTAAATGGAATTTTTAGATTTGACATGACAGCTGTATTTTTAGAACATCAAAGCGATATCTACTTTTTTACAGTCTTTGGATCCAAAGCTCCAAATAAAGCAGATTTCAGAGTGGGAAAAAAACCCTGCAGTGATCTGAATGCATCAGCAGGGGGCACTGTGGTGTAATTTCACCAATTGGGCCTCACCAAAGCAAGCTTTTGAGTCCAAACCAGCGGGTAGTGAATCATGGCTTCTGTATATAAAAATGGTACGATACAATCTTTTTTAATGACCTTACATCCCCTCTACAATGTCACAGCATGTAACAGAACCCCGGTCAGGTGATTGCTTCTACTATTCAACGTGACGCAAGGGGATGTCTTCTGCCTCAGGGAGGATGCGTCCACAGCAGGAGACCAAACAAAATTCTGTGTTGGACGGCAGAAGTAGCAAACCAAAAAAAAAACCCAACAAAATAAAACTTCAGCACAGCAGTGTTGGGGGGCTTCTTGAGGCACTGCTTGTCCAATTACACTCTTATGTAAGTGGAGATGTTGCATAACCAAAATGCTGAATCCTTATGATTTCTCACATTTCACGTGAGTGGACCTCAGGTGTGCCCGTAGTGTTTAGGACAATGCAGAATATCTGCTCAGCAAACTCTACAGCTCATTAAAAGTCTTAGATCACGGGACAGTGAGCAGCAGGGTTGCTTCAGGGTGTTTCACAAAGGCAAACCAAACAACAGAGTTGGACTTTTCATTATGAAAGAGGAGGAACACACCCTTCTGCTACTACAGGGAGTGCAGAATTATTAGGCAAGTTGTATTTTTGAAGAATAATTTTATTATTGAACAACAACCATGTTCTCAATGAACCCAAAAAACTCATTAATATCAAAGCTGAATGTTTTTGGAAGTAGTTTTTAGTTTGTTTTTAGTTTTAGCTATTTTAGGGGGATATCTGTGTGTGCAGGTGACTATTACTGTGCATAATTATTAGGCAACTTAACAAAAAACAAATATATACCCATTTCAATTATTTATTTTTACCAGTGAAACCAATATAACATCTCCACATTCACAAATATACATTTCTGACATTCAAAAACAAAACAAAAACAAATCAGCGACCAATATAGCCACCTTTCTTTGCAAGGACACTCAAAAGCCTGCCATCCATGGATTCTGTCAGTGTTTTGATCTGTTCACCATCAACATTGCGTGCAGCAGCAACCACAGCCTCCCAGACACTGTTCAGAGAGGTGTACTGTTTTCCCTCCTTGTAAATCTCACATTTGATGATGGACCACAGGTTCTCAATGGGGTTCAGATCAGGTGAACAAGGAGGCCATGTCATTAGTTTTTCTTCTTTTATACCCTTTCTTGCCAGCCACGCTGTGGAGTACTTGGACGCGTGTGATGGAGCATTGTCCTGCATGAAAATCATGTTTTTCTTGAAGGATGCAGACTTCTTCCTGTACCACTGCTTGAAGAAGGTGTCTTCCAGAAACTGGCAGTAGGACTGGGAGTTGAGCTTGACTCCATCCTCAACCCGAAAAGGCCCCACAAGCTCATCTTTGATGATACCAGCCCAAACCAGTACTCCACCTCCACCTTGCTGGCGTCTGAGTCGGACTGGAGCTCTCTGCCCTTTACCAATCCAGCCACGGGCCCATCCATCTGGCCCATCAAGACTCACTCTCATTTCATCAGTCCATAAAACCTTAGAAAAATCAGTCTTGAGATATTTCTTGGCCCAGTCTTGACGTTTCAGCTTGTGTGTCTTGTTCAGTGGTGGTCGTCTTTCAGCCTTTCTTACCTTGGCCATGTCTCTGAGTATTGCACACCTTGTGCTTTTGGGCACTCCAGTGATGTTGCAGCTCTGAAATATGGCCAAACTGGTGGCAAGTGGCATCTTGGCAGCTGCACGCTTGACTTTTCTCAGTTCATGGGCAGTTATTTTGCGCCTTGGTTTTTCCACACGCTTCTTGCGACCCTGTTGACTATTTTGAATGAAACGCTTGATTGTTCGATGATCACGCTTCAGAAGCTTTGCAATTTTGAGACTGCTGCATCCCTCTGCAAGATATCTCACTATTTTTGACTTTTCTGAGCCTGTCAAGTCCTTCTTTTGACCCATTTTGCCAAAGGAAAGGACGTTGCCTAATAATTATGCACACCTGATATAGGGTGTTGATGTCATTAGACCACACCCCTTCTCATTACAGAGATGCACATCACCTAATATGCTTAATTGGTAGTAGGCTTTCGAGCCTATACAGCTTGGAGTAAGACAACATGCATGAAGAGGATGATGTGGACAAAATACTCATTTGCCTAATAATTCTGCACTCCCTGTATGAGCGTGTCATAAGAAGCACAGAAGCAGAGCTTAAGAGTGACAAATCAAATTAGGGAAGGGGGAATCTTGAGAATATCAGAGATTATCTAATTTTAACAGTAAGATTAGTAAACTGACCTTATCAGCTGCAGTGAGCCGGGTCCAGGGCTTATCTGCCCGCCGGTCGTAGTCCTGGGCATCTGACACCTCCACATAGTCACTGAATCGAATGAGGATTTTGGCCTGTCTCAGTTCCTCTACAGTGGGCCTCTGGCTCAGCTGGAGCAAAATGAGGAAAATTAAAAACATATATTATATTTCTCATAGAAAGTATTCAGCCTGCATTGTTTTTTCTTATGCAGGAGGAAGAGTGAGGAGGTCAAGAAACCAGTCCTGATATTTTATTGTGTTGAAAAAGTCTCAAATTAACATTTCAGTTTCTGCTTGACACCGATTACTTTACTCGGATACTGATCATAATTCTCATAAGAAAGTGAGGTTATAAAGGAAACCCAGATAACTTTATTTTAGTTTAAGAAGCAATAAGCAAAATTTAACAAACAATGGATTAGATTAGAGTACCTGCACGTCTATCTTCAGCTGCACAGGGTGCTTTTCATTACTCTAACCTCTCTCCTCTCAGGTACACCCAGCAAAAAATAAGAAAGATGCAAGGGCAGACATACTAAAGCTGTCAAATTGGAAATCTGTGGTTTTATGTAGTTAGTCTTCAGCAAAGTAAGTTATTTATAACATGCTGCACACACATAGTGATGCATGAATATTTCAGGAACATGGAACCATAACAGCATAATGAAAAGCTCCCACTGCCTCATGTAGAATCTCATATATAACCTTTAAAATGGGTGCTGTGGCTCTACGCCTGAGTGTAGATCTATTTTTTTGTGAGGTAACGTCTCCTTCCTTACTTATGAGGTGTCTTTCGGAACGGCTAGACTCAGGTCCTTGCCTGATGAAGTGATGAAGTATTACAACACCCTGCTGTTTAAAAAGCCTGGTTCTTCCATTACTTGGTTTACACATTTGCATAACAAGTGAAAGATCCACAGTTTGATCCTGGAAGGAGACACAAATCCCTTTGGGGTTGTGTCAGAAAGGGCATCTGGTGTAAAAATCTGCCAAATCAAACATGAGGAGCTACCCACTGTGGCGGCTTCTTGTGAGTAAGGGAGCAGCCGGAAGTAGATTTAGATTAATTCCCTTTAATAGCGCTGAAGCAAAAGGGATGACATGACATTTTATTTTACAGTTTTTCCTCCTCGTTCACATATTCTAAGGAGTCATGGTTAGAGTACATATCTTTTACTTGATTTCTTGAGAATTGGGTAGCACTACTTTTTGAAAAAATAGCTCGGTTATGTTGGTTATTTTGACCTTGGTTCACCTTGGAGTAAATTGCTTTCAGTTACAGCCATGTTTCTGATTACAACTTTAAAAAAAAAACAAAAAAAACCTTCTCTCTATTCTTGCATTTTTAAAAACTTGCATATTTTAAAGTATATATCATCATTGGTATTTGTCCAACAGCTGAGAGGTTTTGTTTTGAGAAGCATATCTGCAGGTGAGCAGAAAGTGTTATTCTTTAATTTGACAGGGATGGGAACATGCTCAACACCTCCCTATGGGGTCTAAGAGTTTGGCATCCAACATGTTGAAGGGACAAGGGCAACAAGGGCATCAGTGTCTCCTGAGGGAACCTGAGAAGTACCAACACCAGGCCCACACATACACACACACTCCATTTCATCAGATGACTCACTGTCATAGTGTTTGTTTATCCTGGCCAACAACTTGCCCCTTCAAGTGCCAAAAGAGCAAGTGTGGGTTCACACTTTTGGAGCTATTTTGGACTCACCTTTCGCGTGAGCCTTCGTTTTATCTCCCTTTTCTCCTCCATTTCCTCCTGCTCATTGCGAGCTGCAAAGAATGAAAGGATGAAGTGTTAACCTTTGAATACAGGCATCCGTACAGTGGGGCTCTTTGTGAAATAAGTACAAGCGCGCCGCTTGCTTAAAATGCCTCATTTGTTCCACACTTAACTGGATAAGTCCCTTAAAGCTTAAAAAGCTTCCATCATTGGCTGTTTTATGCTTTTAGGAGAGGTTCAGCATGAGGAGTGACTGATTGCTTTGTTTCTTTCACATTGTCCCAGAGCTTTTCAAATGTATATAGTTCTCTTTTGCTGATTACATCAAGTTCTTATTCCTCACTAAATTCCTGTATGTGTTGTCCTGCAGATTCCACTGGAATCACAATGACAAACAAAACAAAAAGATAAGTTAAAACGAGAGACAAGAGTAAACAAGAAGCACACTGGGACACTGCTGTTTGCAAAAAGCTTCACCAGTCAGTCTGTATTTATGCTTGTACTAAACACACACTCCATTTCCAGTACTACTTGCAGTTTGGGATTTTAGATGTTGCTTCATTACAAAATAAAGTCCCGTTTGTTTAACCTTGGTTTTGTATGTGTGTGAGTGACAGGGAGGACATGACTTGTCAGTCATAAATTGTTACTTTGTCTTTTTCCCCCTTGTACTGTTGCCAATCATCCAAGAGCCTCTGGGGAAGCAGGAACTGATAGTAAATCAGTCTTTGATGTGAGATCTGCAGAGTCCCAGGAAACAGAACTGCTTCTCTCTGATACTGCATGTGTTTGAGCTAAGAAAGCAGTCTCTGTGGACATGACTCCTCGGGGAACCCTGCTACCTTGCATGACTTTCACGAAAAGGCAGATCGAGGAGGAACAAAAGAACGAGATGCATGTCCACGAGCACTCACATAACAGGGTCTCATAATAATCATTTAAAAAAAATTAATTAAAAAATGTAAAAAAAAGAAAAGAAATTTCCACGCTGCCCTTCATGCAGTCAGCATGCACAAGAAGGCAGCTACAAATGTGGGCCATGTGTTGCTAAAACGCAACGTTTGAGGGACCTTTTTGCACATTTTTAGCTATGTAATGTTAAATACACACGTTTAAGATACTCACGTTTGAGGATGTTCCTTTGCTCTAGCTCCTCAGCTGTGGGTCTCTGACTCAAGCGTCTGATGAGAAACAGAAATCCACAGTCAGCACACAATCAGAGAAAGGAGGTCAGCGAGGAAAGTCAGAACCAATATGGGAGCAGTTTTGAGATTATCACATTTAAAAAAAGAAAATACATCCAAATATTTTACAGGTTTTTCTCATTAAGAGGACTTTAACAGTCACAGGGTTCAATTAATGTTCGCATCAAACATCTGAATGACTTTGAAAACATGACTTTGTTAGTGCCAGACAAGCTGGTTTGTGGATCTCTTGGGATTTTCAGCCACAAATGTCTCTAGAGTTCAGAACCGTATGGGGGGAAAAAAAACCCCAGTGAGGAGCAGTTCTACAGAGGGGAAACATCTTGGTGATGAGAGGCCACAGAACAGCTAGCCTGGTACGGAAAATCCACTCCCAGCAAGTGCAGCTGAGAGCAGCAAAGCACCTCAGAATGCAATTTCAAACTTTGAGGCCAACAGGCTGCAATAGAAATCTGAGGGTGCAGTGGGCAGAGGCTCACAAAAACTTAAGCACAAATGCAAAGACAGTTAAGAAATAAATGTAATCAGAATTTCTGATTCACATCATCAAACCATGGACCAACCTTACTTTGTGGATTGGAGGTTTGAGGAAAAAATAAATTAAAAAAATTCCTTTAACTTTCACTGTTTGACTGCCATTGTGTGTATGAGTATCATTGCTGACCAAGTTGATCTTTTCTTCCTACAAATTACTGATGGCTACTTCCAGCTTGATGATGCACCTTGTTACAAAGCTAAAGTCACCACTAACTGGGCACATCAGCGTAGCAGTGAGTCCAGTCACCTCAATAACCTCAGTAGTCACCAGATCCGAATCCACAACACCTTTGGGATGTTTTATAAGGGGAGATCCGCAATGTGAATGTGCAGCTGCCAAATTTGCAGAACTGATGTGATGCAGTCACGTCACACATGAAAATTCAGGGTATTTTGAGAGGACAAGAAGTGTTCCAAAACAGTATAGTTCAGGAAAAAGCTGCTTAGCTCATTTTTTTTCTCCCCTACATTCTGCAGAGCATTCACTTCCCAGCTTTGACATCGACTCCCGACAAGTTTATCTTATTGACATGTTGGCTCACAGAACGAGCACTTTTATATAGTGCTGGGAATAAGTTGCGTAGAGTAAGTTTAGAGTAAAATGCATTCTCAAACTGAACTGAATACAAATGACCTCAATTCTCATTCTTCCTTGTGTCCTGTAGAAATTATTTATGAGCAACAGAGTTGTATATTGTTTTAGTTGAAAGGCTTTTATCTTATTTAAGCTCTTGCCTCATGACAGCTTGACAGGTGAAAATCCAAAAACGTCACTCATTCACGATCACCAATCCCCACAATGACTCAATGATAAAGCAGTGATGGGATGCAGGAATAAGGCTAAAAGCAAAGCCTGATACCCCAAACCACCAAACTCTTATCTGATGCTGTATCAGGAAAATATGACTGTGACACCTTCAGCTGCTGAGTAAAAAGGTCATTACAAATTTACTGCATACAGCACCTACACAGCAAAAAACAGAATAGCCAGATATGCTTTTTATTTTATTTTATACAACACCAGAGTAGATGTGCTGTGTACAGGTTATCTCTAGTATGCTTATTAAGTGGCTGGAAGTACTAAGATGCACAAAGTCAGTCACTCAAAATACTTTCAGCTGGAGACTCTTACAATAGCAATCTATCCAAAACAAGTGGTGGTAGATCTGTCTTTGAGCACTGGATCAATGATTGACTCAGTTTCTTTAGATCTGACCTGTTACTGCTCATCAAAATAAGAGCCTGTAGCCAGACATAGTTCTGTGCAAAGAAAGGTCCAGGCACTAAATCCCAGACTGGGTTTTTGGATATCTCAGCATGGATTGAAGATTATGTAGTAAGCTCCATTTACTTTTGAACCTTTTACCAGTTTAAGTGATGCAAAGAATAGAGATGGTGAAGGTAGATGAGTTTAAATACCTGGGGTCAACCATGTAAAGAAAATGCAGATAGTGAGGTGCATAAGAGAGGTGAAGAAGAGTTTGCAGGCATGGTGGAGTGGATGGAGATGAGTGACATTAAAATATATAGTTAGTGCTATATTTTTATTTAACCACTCAAATTAAACCCCAAGTCTTTGCTTTAAGCTCTTTATTCTTTACAGCTGAATGTTTTGATACATGGCTAGAATAGTAAAAGTTGTCAGTTTCAGACAATCCCGAAAAAGTCTTTTTAAACATTTTCAGCCTTATTAATATTTTAAAAAGTGCTTGTTTCTGAACCCGGTGCAAGTATTGCGGAGAATACAAATTCCTTCTGAACAAGTAAAATTTGTAACCCTTCCAGATATCAATGATGCGTGGAAGTGAGAAATCACTTAATCATTGATTTAGTTTCTTTCTCTCTGAGCTGCTGCTGACTTATACCAACCAATTATTCAGCAGCATTTAGAAGGACAAACATCATTGTAATTACATCCAGAAATTCAATACACACAAATAAGATATAAGAACGCCTAAGAAATCTGCCCAAGGAAAAAAGGAAAATTTAAAAAGGAATAAAATAATAAAATACATGTTACATGAAAATATGAATACAGTCATTAAATCCAGCGGAGAAAGAAAAAAAAAACAGCATAAAACCGTGCGTTTATTACCCGGTAACTTTATGAAGGGTAAAAGCACTTCATTTTACTTTCCATACTTTTCCCAGTGAATCAGGTCAGCAGAACTAAGCTGAGGTCAGCGTGTCCTAGATCAGCATTATCATAATCAATTCTAACTGGCCTGGCACAAGCAACTACTTTAAAGGACACAATGCCGCTGGTAATAAAGAGTGAAATGGGAAAGTGTTTGTTAGGTGATACTGTATAAAAGACGCTGTTACAGAGCTGGAACATGAGAACTAAGCAGACAGTATGTCTGAGAACATGTACTGTGCTGCCGTCACAGTGAGGAGTAGTGCCAGTGTCTCTAGGTAATACTCCGTCAGTGCCGCATCTCATATCGAATTGCACTATTCAGATTTTCATTTTTACCAAGTAGCTGGTGGTTTCTTTGCCCCCTTACCACATCATTACATCCGCTTTATTTAGTCGCACATGTTCATAAAGCCCAGTGAAATCAAATGAGACCAAACATTGCGTTGTTTGATCTGCTCAGTTACTAGAATTCACATTCATGACCTCAACATATGTATATACATTCCTACGACTTGCAAACACGGCATCACTGCAGTGTGTGTAAACTGCTGATATGAAGCGGCTTGCGCGGTGCTGCTGTGTGGAGGAGTCGGGTGGAGATAGTTTGGCACATGCATCACTGTGGTGATTCAGTGAGCGAGGCAGGGAGTCAGGCAGGAGAGGAAGAAAGTGAGAGAGAGACAGGGTTAGAGAGAGAAATGGAGAGAGAGAGAGAGCACTCGAGAGAGAGAAGACAAGAGCAGGGAAAAAAAGGAGGAGGGGGGAGTTTGATGCATCACTGAAATTAGGTCAGCTCCATTTTCAGAGACTCGTTTTAACGAAATAAAGCGTTTATCCTTATCGGATATTGGGAAGGAAAAAACTGAAAGGATAGAAAAGACTGAATAAAAATAAGACTCACATGGGCTTTGGACTGAGTCACAATACTGTTAAGCCAGGACATTAGGAATTGTCAGCCCAAAGTAAAACAAATGCTTGCAATGGCTGAGAAAAGCCAGTGCTGTTGCCCAACAGCTGTTATCGGGCTGGCTACAGCAACATCAGCCAGGCCCGCTGGAAATATCTGTCCCAGAAATTGTGGCTGTATTGTAATTGTATTCAGGCTAAGAAGAAAAGCATGTGCGTATGATTCTCACCTTGTGAGTTTGGTGCCTATCTGCTGCCTAGATTCCAGTCTCTCCTCATCTGTCTGCATGGGCAGGATGTTTTTCTCCTCCAGTTCCCTCTTAGATGGACGGTTACTCAGCTTGATGGCCAAAGAGTCTTTTCTTAGTACCTTCTGAGCCAGTGTACCTAAATTTGAAATGCAAAATGTTAAAATAGTTATGGTTAATAGGTATTGGTATGGTAAAAATAAGTATACGAAAATGGGGTTTAATGTACTGATCTTTGCTATTTGGCCTCTGTTTTCTGGATCTTCCAGAAAACGGAGTTTTAAATATTTTATACCATGGATTTAAAACAATAGCTCTCTAACATTATGTTCCTTCCATGCATTCTGCACAGTTCAGCAGTTTTTCCAAGAGAATATGCATCAAAGTTTTGGCTGATAATTAAATTCTAGATACATTTCTGTGAATCTTTCGGCCCTACTTTGAAGGTTAGTTTAAATCTGAGTTCCAAGAGCCTTCATGTGAAATAAGGAGCCCTGACAATTATGATCAGTCAAACAAACAGTCTCTATGTCTGCAAACATGAGCTGTCCAAACAAAAACAGAGAAAGACACTTCTGCTGCTAAGGCACCCTGTTTCTCAAATGCCCTACCTGTGACTTTAATTTGACTTACAACTAGTGCAGAACAAAATGCACATGTTTGGAGAGGTCACACTGCAGCTCGAGTGAGCAATTCACAGAAAGAATGGGGTGTGTTAACAAAATATGCAGCTCATGCACACCACCAACAGCAGTTAGCTTCAATAACTGCACAGAATTGGTCCTATGTTTATGCATGAACAATGCTACATAAAACCATAGTATGATTTAATTTATATGTCTAGAAAAGTTTAATTATACATGACATATTATGATATCATGTTGCCTAACAACCATCTGACAACAACTAAAAAACACAGACCAAGCAATACTGTAGCACAGGTATGTTATAGTTATCTCAACTGACATTAATCCTTAGCTTAACATTTACTGTTATTTTTGGTATTTCATATAACACACACTAACTAAACGAGGCATGCCCCAGTGTGTATGTGTGCGTCACAGTTAATTATCACAAAAAGAAGCCTAAAGTGAGCTACATAATCAAACTAGATCCCCAGCTTTATACCTGCCAAGTATAAAACAGATCACATTTTATAGTTAAATAAAAAAAATAAAAATAAAAAAACAGGGATTTTTAAATGTTTTGGGTGCATAGTTTTAAATAAATAAATAAATAAATAACCAACCGTACTTGATAAACTAAATCAAAATAACATCCTCAAAAGTCAGACAGTAATAGCTTAAGGGACAGATCAGGCATCTGCTGATGAGCATAGTGCAGTAGTGCAATTTCACTACTCTGTGTTACCATGACAGCTGCCACTTACTTGTAAATATTGAGTCGTCATCTTCATCATCGTCTTCATCGTCATCCACATCATCATCCTCATCCTTATACATGCTGGGTAGATCTTCATAGTCAGATTCATTAGGCAGGTTCTCCTTATCGTCCTCGTAGTCGATGATCACAGATGGCACTTCTCTTCTTTCTAAGGGGACACACTGACCACCGCCGTGCAGAGCAGAGCTAGAGGAGCGAAAGGGAGATAAGTTATGATGGTTCTGAGCCAAGTATGAATATTAATAGACTGAACAATTTCCAACAAAAAAACGAATGCTAAACAAATAACAAAAAGATGATATTTTATGTGCGTATCACAAACATTGGGTTGTTGTGTAATGCCTAAAAGAAATTTGGGAACACACTACTTTCAGACAAACATGAGGATGGTGTCACTATTCTGTGAAAGACTACCAATAGCTAATAAGTTCAACAAGTTAAAGTCACTTCTCAATACAAATATTAAAAAAAAAAAATCAACAGGGCATATCATTAAAAGACTTACAGAATAGAGAGAAATCTCTCTGCACAAGGTACAAGGCCAAAGATTAAGACTGAATGGCTTTTACAGCACCTTTAGCCCCTGAGATAAAACTGCAAAAATGTAATATTAATGAAATAAAAATATTAATATTTCAAAAATATATATAAAAAACAAAAACAGATAAATAATGCTCAGCAGCATTTCTAAAACCACTGTTAGAAAGCATGGTTCATCACTGCAAACAGCACTTCAAGAATGTTATTTCTACCATGTAAAAGACAAAACGTTCATTTAATGGGAAGTAAGGTAAAGTGAAAAACTGCCCTGTTGTCTGACCAATTAAAATAAGAAATACTTTGTCAACCTCACCATGCAATTCAAAAGCCAACTCCAATTTGGAGAAATATGTGCTGCCAAATACTGACATCTTTTTGAGGGAAGGCTTAGCTTATTTTAGCAAGACAATGCCATATCACAACATATACACGTATTACAAAACCACAGCTCAGTAGCTAAAGAGTCCATGTGCTAAACTGGCCAGCTTACCTGTTGTTTAGACCTATCACACACTGAAAACAGCTGGCAGGTTATGAAATGGGGAAAAAATATGACACTGAAAATTGAAATCCCTAACAAGCAAGACAGACCTTAAAACAGTAAAAAAAAACCCGTCTTCTTAAATATATATTTAAAAAAAAAAAAGTTATATTAGAACCATTGTAAAATAGATTATTTGAAAGTCATTGCACTGTGCTCTTGTTTACATTTTACACAGCATGCCAACTTTTCTTGGAACAGGGTTGTGACAGATTAGGATGGCCATATTATTTGGCCTTGCTAAAAGGGTGAATTTATGAAAACCCTGAGCCAGAAAATCCAGTTGAAATGGGGAAGATCATCATATTTCATCTCCATTATCTTTCAGCATTTTTTTTTCTTAAATTCATACAGTATTATTAAAACAATAGCCCGCACAAAACCCAGAAAATGAAAATGGCTCAAAAACAATAAATTGGGTTTGGGCTTCTGGTGCAGAACATAATGATAGCTTAGTGGGTTTTTAATCCAAGTATAAAGCGAGGGGAGATACACTGTGTAACTGGAGCTGAAAGAGAACTTCAGTACAAAAAGCCTGAATACCAACTAACTGCATTTCTGCGAAGCCCTACGCAATACCATGCAATTCTCTGAGCTGCACAGAAGGAAAAAAAGAGTAACAGATTATACAACTTGCATTATTAACAGCAGCCTGACGAGAATAAACTTCACTTTCACAAGCAGTCACCGGTTGGCACTAGCAAGCAGCAGTGACATATATGACAGATTCATTAATAACGACCTAGCTGAAGGTTGTTATGATGGGACACTGTGATGTAACCACGTCAGGCTTTCAGACTAATTGTGAGCAACATCAGGGCCATTACTTCCTTATCCCTACTCGAATAGCTTTGGTGAAAAAGAGATCCTAATGTAAGAGGTTACATAATGTGCAATCCGCTATCATGTCCCTTTTCTCCAAACATGAAGAAATGCAGCTCTTGTAAAGAGCAGCTGGTCATGTTATGTCAGGCCAACTGTTGGAGGGACGCCTACTCCATGCGCCTGTGCCCACACATACACACATTTACTTCAAAATTAGGCCATGCTGCCCTGTGAGGCAGTGTGCCGATTTAGACCTGTATGGTAGTGCTACAGAGCTGGCAGGATGCGACCTCTATAACACAAGAGCAGATCTGAAAGTAGCAGACACAGTGCCACAAAAACAAATACTAATAAAAGAGGACACTCTATGCTAATGACATTTCTCAGTGATTACTCTGATTAGACCTGTTCTAGGGACAGCTTTTAGCAACAAGACATTCATTACTCCATAATGACCAGAAACTCATCAGATAAAAAAAAAAAGAGAAAAGAAATCAATTCTTTGTAGAAGAAAAATGTCACTAGCAAACGCAAGGGAAAATCTGCATTAAACGCTATACTAATATTAGCCATGTAACTGTAAATCCACCTGCCTAAAACTGTGCAGATCCCCTTTTTGCTGCTAATAAAGAAGCTCTTTTCTGGTGCACAGACTCCATAAGACCTCTTGGAAAGTGTCCTCTCCTATCAGACACAAGGACTTTAGCATCAGATGCATTGAGTTCTACAAACTGTGATGCAGGGCCTGTATAGATGAGACTTTTTTAACAAATACCACTGATGTGTAATTGGACTGAAAATCTAGAGGCCAAGTAAAAAAAGTTCAGATCTTTGTGATGCTACACCATTTCCAAGCAACTGCCATCAGGAAATATTGCTTTAGTAATGGGGTGGACATGGTCTGCAGCATTGTCTATGTAGTTAAACTCTCTGTCATTTCTACGGTTTTACATATAAGGACATAATAAAAAGTTATCAGGTATTGCCAGGTTTTAAAATGAGGTAAATACCACCTTTAGCAGCAAGAACTTAAAGTAATCATTTTCTGCTTGACTTTATCAGCCTTTCACATTGTTGCTGAATGAATTTTGGACCATTTTTCTTTACAATTTTGCTTCAGTTCAATGAAGCTTGTGGGCATTTGTTTATGCACAGCTCTCTGAAGATACACTTCAGTCAGCTGATGTCTGGACTTTGACTGGGCCTTAATTATTTTCTTTTTAAAGTCATTCTGTGGGTTTTCTGCTGTGCTTGGGATCATTGTCCTGCTTGACCCAATTTCAGCCAAGCTTTAGCTTTTGGACAGATGGCCTCACATCTGACTCTTACATTTCAGGAGTTTATGGTCAACTCAGTGACTGCAAGGTAGCCAGATCCTGTGGCTGCAAAAGAAGCCCAAATCATCACCCCTCCACCACCTTGCCTTACATGAGGTATTTGTCCTAATATGTTGTTTCGTTTTCATCAAACATGGCACTGTGCATTATGGCCAAGCATCTCTACTTTGGTCTTCTTTGTCCAAAAGACATTTTTTAAGAAGTCTTCTTCACATGCAACATTGCAAACCTAAGCTCTGCTCCCATATTTATTTATTTTAGATAGAAAGAGGCTTTCTACTGGCAGCTCTTCCAAATAAAACATATTCGTTAAGTCTTTTTCTAATTGAACTGTCATGAACTTTATAACATTTAGCATGCCAACTGAGGCCAGTAAAGTATGAAATTTATCCCTCTGGGTTGTTTTTTTTTGCTGATCACTGCATGGTCTGACCTTGGGATGAATGTGATAGGACACCCACTCCTGGAAACAGCAGCTCTCTTGAATATTTCATACTCTATATACTGTAGAATGATGAACATCAAATTAGGAATGGCCTCATAACCCTTCCCAGATTGATGCAGCAATAAGTGCTTCTTTAAGATTCATTACCACCCAAATTGCTGTTTTTATAGAGGTCCTCACACTTGCTGCCAATCAATTCATCAATTGCATTTGATTTGCAGCACCTAGCTGCTACTTACCCTCTTAATTCCCATGGAATCAGTAAGGCTGTACTTTGTTTTTCACTTACTGCTTTTGCATTTTTGCTTATTTTTTTTTAAATAAATAGTGACATGTTGTACTATGTCTTTTATTACTGTTCATCTGAGGTTGTATTTACCTAATTTTAAGACCTGCTAAGGGCTCGATTATGATTATTATTATTTTATTACATTCTAAAACCTTGGGTTTGGGTGTACTTTGTTTTTACCATGACATATAATATGTGTATGCAGTTCTGGCATAACATTCCCTGAGAATCACCTCATCTTCTTCCCACAGTGCATCTTGCACTCATGTCTTCTACGGATAACCAATTCTCACACACCCAGGTGTCAACATGATGTAAAAGAAAATGTGACTCATCAGACCAGGCAGCCTTTCCGTTTTGCTCCCCGGGAAGGTTTTGGTGGTATATTCATGCATGTGAAGGTTCTCAGTCATCCAGGTCATGGTACACTAACTTGGAAAGAAAAATGACTGGACTCCTTCAAGTTTTTTGAAGATGTTTCACCTCTCATCCAAAAAGCTTCTTCAGTTCTAGACCAAATGGTGGAGAGTCCCAGATATATTCAACATGTTGAATATATCGTCTTGGTCAGCATCACAATTTGATCAGTTTATTACATTTGTCCATTTTCTTTCTATGTTTTCTGTAATTTAATGTTCTCCTGCTGTCTATCGTGGCCCTCCCCGTGTTGTGACTGATGAGTGTAGTTCTGTTACATAAGATCCATCTGTGTCATTTTTAAACATACACATGCAGCATTGTTTAAGTTTACTTAAGATATTACATGTGATTTACAGACAGAAACTGAGCCATAATCCTTCCCTGCCTTCCCACAATCAGATTTAATGACCAGAACTGAGAGCTACTAACCTTTCAAACCTCTGCATGGAGAGTGCCAGGGTTTTATTGAGCTCCTCGATGATCCGACTGGGGGCGTGTAAGCTGCCGTACTGAAGCTGGAGCGGGTGACCGTGGCTCTGGTGTAGACCGGCTAGACCGACAAGCTGGGAGGGCAGTAAGGTGCCATGTAGGGAAGGCATGCCCTGGGGAGGGGCAGACTTTTGTGGGAGAGTGTTGAGGGGGTTGGGGGATGGAGAAGGGGAGGATGAGGAGGAGTCCAGCCCCCCTGGAGGCACGCAAATCATCACTTTCTTGGGTGGCAGAGGTGGAGAGTGCTTTCCCCCAGGCATGCAGGGCAACTTCATTGGCTGACAAGAATCTAGGGAATTGTTAAAAAATTAAAAAAAGGACAAAAAGAAGATTCATTGGACTTATTATATGAATGTCATGCATGGCATAGCTATTGCAGTTTATGGTGCAGATAGATAAACAAAGAACACAGATGAGTGGAAACGGCTCAAACATCAGCCCAGAGTGGGGGAATTACACCAGAGTAATGCCACTTCTCTCTCCTGACAGATTGACAATGACAGATAAAGCCAGCTGACCCAACCAGAGAGGGATTTAATGAGACTAGTATAATCCTATGAGCATGTGTGGCTGTACAGGTACAGTTTAAAGCCAAAGCAGTTATCAACACAAGTACCTGCTATTTACTTTAAAAATGAATCATTTTTTGACAGTTAAAGGTAATGAAGCAACACCCAACAATGTACACTTTAAGGAAAAATATTAAATCAAGTGTATATTATGTTGTATTTATTCTGCTTGGATTAAAGAAAAGTTCTAGAAAAAAAACATATTGCCTGGAGTGATTAAAGCTGGACAGGCATGGAACAGACCATAATCTAGGACAACTGACCTGTGCTGTGGTTTGGGATCCTAGAGAAAGGCTTTGGGGGGAGAGCAGGAGGCTGTTTATGGTAAAGCGGTGGTTTGGCAGGGTTGTCCTGATGGTCACCTGGATAGCCAACAGATTTCTTAGTGGGCAAGACCATCGACGATTTCATAGAGGGCTCCTGAGTGCAGACGCTGCCATCCATTGAGGATCGGAATTCAACGGTTGCTAAAACAAGGAAAAAACTATCAATCTGCAAACAGTCAAAAATGCATTTGACTACACAAGAAAGACACTTTCTAAAAAGACTGCATAAACTAAGTTTAAAATGAACTTGATGTGTTTTTGAGACACTGGGGGCTTGGACTGTTTACAAACCCGAGAGCTTTTTTATCAGCACACACCAGACCGTGGAACAGCAGCAGACAAGCAGTTTGACAGAACTTTGGAATTTTAATTCTTTTATAGTTCTCATCCATTTGATGTTTTTTTCTTTTGCATGATCACACTTAAAGGCTGACAGTGCAAGTCACAGTGCTGCTCACATATTTTCTGACTGCCAGTGCATTTATACAGCATGCCTCCCATATTCCCAAATTCCATCTTAGCTATGGACTTTGTTTTTTAAATAGAAAATCACAACAACGTTTCACTCCTCAAATCTTTTTAACATTCAAAAAATTCCTCATGGGGACTTGTTATTTTTTATTATTAACTAAAGATAACAAACTAATAATTTGTTGTAGTTTTTCAAGCTCTTTATTCAGGGATCATTTCTAGGCTTTCATTTTGAGGCCGGTGCTTTAGGAAGGATCTATGATATAATACAGTAGCTTTCAACACTGTGATGGGAGATACTGAACCATTTAACTTGTTCCATGTTTGGAGATGCTTTTCTGCATACCTTGGCTGTAATGAGTGGTTGTTTTAGTCACCACTGCTTAGTAGCTTCACCTGTCCTGTCTTTCTTGTTTTTCCATGAGCTGTTGAGTTTCTGCAATGTGTACTCATTCACTGTCACAGCATACAGTGTTTTCACATTTAGCTATTAAACTCAGTTTTTCAAAAAATAATGAAAGCCAAAATCTTCCATAAACTGTATATAAAAGATGGACGTAGCTATTATGACATCAGTCATTGGTTGATCAAGTCCCATCCTAATTAAGCCCTCTCATGATTGCCATCTTTATATTTTTAAACTGGGTTTGAGAAGTGGTAAACCTGAGGCCTACCATGTAGGCATGGACCCATACAGTGTTTTGAATATCATGTTGTATTCAGTGTAATGAATATCATGTTGTATTCAATAACACATGAAACTAGCAATTATGATCTTGAACTTGTCAAATCCTGTTTACTATACTCACAGATCAAGTGATCAGTAGCACTGTTTTCCCACACTCTTGTGTACAATTCTTTTTTTTTTCCTCAGAAAAAAAAAAAATTGGGCCATTAAAAAGAAAAAAGGTTCAATGCTTTGGCTTCACCTTTAAGGTCCAGAAGCTGTGTCTATCTTTTATATACAGGCTATCATTTCTTTCTTATCTGCTCTCCTCACATCTTGGCAAGAGTCAGCCGAGCTTCTCTGACTTTGTTTTTGATATCCTGCGGCATCAAGCCCCCTGTTGTGTGATTCAAACATAATAAAATATATCTTTAGGTTGTGTAAAGCACATCAAATCCAGATCAAACGGGGTTTTTTTTTTTAAAGCCACAAATTTTCTATAATGAAAGATTCTATCTCTCGAAGCTCTGTGCCAAATCTTGAAGAGTGCACTCCAGAGGCTACTGATTAACAAGGAGATGAATAACTGAGGACCTTTCAGTTTGGTACGCCACCGTTACCCTTCTTGTAATTTCTACTTAAATCTGAAACAGTTTCCATCTGTTAAATCAGAGAGAAACTGCAGAAAATCAGCTCACCTTTTTCAAAGATCTCCTTCAGCACTCCTCTCTTGATAAGCTCATCTCTGCTCTGTCGCATTGACATCTTCCTCTCCAAAGCTGATGTTGTAAAGAAAAGGAGTGTGATAAAGAGGTTTTAACACTGTAACTTGTCATTCAAAAAACTATGACCGTTATTTCTTTGTTTAACCCAGGCTAAACAATTCACAACATGGATGTGGTCATGTGTTTCACAACATTTTTTTTTTAAAGACGCATTCACATCAACCACTTTTGATGTAACATTTCCAAATGCCTAGAAATGTAATAAATAAGTAACAAACATCAAAATTACCAGCAATATGCCAACGAAAATTTCTCGTTTGCATCACAAGGCAAAGAAATATTTATTTACTTGCTTATTTGTTTCCTTTACTCAAAGTGTTCAGCAATCAGAAAAAGAAAAAAAATGACCAATCAAACATCTGGTCCAGCCAAAAAACAAAACAAAACAGGTTTTCTTTTTGTGTGAAATGGATATCAGTCACTATCTGCATTCGGTCACTGTGATAATCCCATAATTAATCCCAGTTTCACCATATACATTTCGTCTGGCTTATTTAGATTTTGCTGTAAAGATAATCAGTCGTCTCTGCTGAACAGTTAGAACAATTAGAAACTGTTCCCTGTTTAACACAGATAAAGGATAAAAAAGATATTCCAGCAATGCTTCTCATAGTAATTCATTATGCAAAAGATGCCATGTCCCATAGCTACTGTTTCCTTCTATTTTTAGGCTTTGCGAGTTGAGGCACTTAAGATCTTCTATCAGTGGGCTGAACAAAAGCAGTAAAATACTAAAAAAAAAAAAAAGAAGAAGTTGTTACTCATTTTAAAATCTAATCTTGCACAGAAGCTAATTAAGAACGTGAAATGAGGATGAGAAATAACAACAGTTGAGCACGCTGTACAGGAGACTCGTACATCCTGTGCCCAAGTATGAGTGCTTGACATATCAGAAGCCCTGACTTCTGAAATCAAAAATGTTCAGTGCTACTACATATTCAGAGCACATTGGACAAAAATACACTGGCATCTTGACCTCTCTATTCCTTGCACATCGTTCACAGCACATTACACTTTAAACCCACTGCTCAAAATAAGTCAAAATCACTACGCTTCTTTATGAGTTTCTCTATGGTACCAGATGTTCATCATCAATGCTTACTTCAAAAGCTTTCCAAAGCTTTTTGACCAGCCCTGAACAAGGAATTAGTTAAAAAGTTAAACATATTTTTTGGGGAGCGAGCATACATGACCGAATATTCCCCAATATGCCACACTCCTTTACTTCAGCTGCCAAGTTGGCATATTGCAGTTTTTATCCTTTCATATGCTTAGTCCATAGCCTCGCCACGTGGGAATGTCAGCTCAACAATGAATGCAGGACTTGGAACAGAAGAGTGGATGTGGCCACAGGTTGTTAATTGGATTTTGGATGGGAATGTGAGTCCCTGGTTTAGGCTCACATAGGCAGTACATGTTAACTCATTAACCATGAGTCAGGAGGTGATGGTCCACTGTTTCTTCCATTCTCAGATTAAGGAAAAAAGCAGCAGGATGGTGGTCTGAGCTATTTGGGGGGTGACGTTGGTTGATGCCATCTCTTGCTCTAATGTTGAGGCCAAGAACATCAATACTTAATTACGTTTTCAAGCGTATCTCCTGTTCTTTCAGCCCACTAGTATGTGTTTAAGGCTTGCTTGGGGCTGCACACTGGTGACAGGACAGCACAGCACATCATGTGTGGCACTGACAATGATCAAATATGTAACAGATGTAGTCATTCTTAACCTTTCCTTAATTTAAAAACATCCGTATTTTGGGGTTTCTACAATCATCTCTAGCTGTTGAGTAACATGTGGCTAACAAATTTAATCAAAAATAAAATATTTGCACATTACCAAGCAATTTCCATAAAACTCCCACAACCAACTTTAGGTTAGTGGTAACAACTGTACTGTGAAGTAATTGGATTAAAAAATATATATATATATCTTGGAAAGTTAATATCTTTGCCAGACATTTGCTTCTGCCAGATCTAATAATAAAAGATAATAGGTTTTACAATGCAGTCTCTAAAAGCTTTCTCCTTAAAACTTTCAACTTTCAAAACTCTTGCATTGCAGTTTAACTTAGACTTTGAAATCCCCATCACGAGTCCATTATTCTTTAGTCTTTTGTTTAACAGAGCAAACATTCAAATGAAACTAACCCTAACCCTTCTAAAGAAGTACAGCACCAATTCGTTGCCAGAGTGGGGAAACCTGGGGTTAAAGGTCATTACTACGCCAGTTGTTTCATCCAAAACGAACAGCAATTACTCAGAGCTTTATGACATAAGAGCTCTTCTGCGGGATGCACACAGTTATGCAATACCATTAACTCAAAAGCCTTAATGAGGATATTATGTCTTCAGACTTGACAGGCGGCGAATGTTTGCGAAACAAAAGTGGAAGCTGGTAAAATTAAAGTGGACACGTGCAGAACGTGTGCCGAGCATGAAGTAAGGAGATGAAATTCTGGCCATCCTTGCAAACCCCCCTAAAACCCCCCCACTCTGTTTAATATTTAATCAGCACATTATTAGTGTGCAAGAAGTGGAATTTCATGTTCATTTCATCAGGAAGGTCCTAGGGGACACACACACACACACAAAATTGCGTGTGTGCGTGTTTAGTGTCTGTTTAGTGGGAAAAAAATGCCACTCCCTCAAAATACCTGACTTTGATACAGAGTGCTATTGACTTGGACACCAGAGTAGTTGTCATCACTTGTCAGTTTGTAACAATGTTTATTATATAAGTTTAGTGTGCAGCTGAGGTACTCAAGTTAAAAGCATCAAACAGGATGCACTCTTATCACTACCAAAGGGTACAAAGCAAACCTCCATATCAGTATATTAGAATCTGCAGTAGCCTTCAAAATCACCTTGAATATCAACCAAGTTCTATTTTAAAAGTCTACCATAGCCCAAAGTGTTATCATGGCCCAACACTCCAACCACTCAATCTGTACCAAGATGAGAAGATTAGACACTCATTGGGGAGACTCAGCTGAGAGCATATTAAATGAAACTGGCATATCTAAGTTCAGCCTCTACTGATCTGAGAACACTACATTTAGTTTTTTAGAAAAAAAAAGAAAAGAAAAAAAAAAAAGTAAATTCCACTGCGAAGTGACCCAGATAGTCAGAACACATCCTACAAACCCTGAGGCACAGTAGCTTAAAGTGGAGTCTTTTACTGAGGCGTTTCTCTCAGTCTGACTCTCACAAAAAACTGTAATAAAACTTTGATGGTGTCTTCTATCAATGAGGAACTCAAGCGTTAAACCTCAGACCTCAGAAGCTTGAGTGTGGCTAAAATACACTTTAACACCTATAAAGGACACAGCAGGCATGCAATAGGCAATCAACTTCTCCCTTCATACAGTGTACAATGGACACGTATGAAATATGTCCTTTTTGTTAAAAATCATGCGAACATCCAGCATGAGTAGTGCAATTGGATGACTGCTGTTCATAGGGAAATGTGCTAATTAGATTAAAAATAGACTCCCTGATAACATCAGACTACAGCATGCATGTTCTTTTGATAAATCTCTTCTCGCTAAAATCTCTTCCTGATACAAGCTGGCTGTAAAAATTTACCAAGCACAATAAGACATCCAGCTGTCAGATGCTTCTCCTCCCTCATTCCTTCCTGAGGTAAAGAGTGCAGCCTCCCAGAGCTGGCCTTCATCTGCTTAAGATCACAACACATTAATAATCCTCTACTGTGCCCAGTGTCCAATTATCCATGACAACATCTTCCTGCCCAGTGGCTGGTCTACTCCCTATTGATACAGGAGTTGTAATCAACAATAAGGTAAGCACAGACTACTTCAGACACAAAAGACAAACAAAGACCATCTAAGGCCAAGATCATAGCAATGCAACTATAACCATTGCACATTTTTGCTGATGTGACAATAAAAGTGATTTGATTTGATTTGATTTGATTTGATTGCTTAAGCAACAGACAAATACTCTAATACTCTTGCAGACAAAATGCTGTTTTCAGCTATTAATGATGGTGTACTAAAACAAGTCAATAGCTGGTAGTAGCATGTGGCAGCAGTGTTCTTATACCTGCTGACAACAGGTCAGTAATAAAATGAGGGCAAGTACACAACACAGTTTCCTTGATAAGGTGAAAAATTATTCCTTTAAACACAAACTTGCTAATGGTTATACTGCACAGAGTCTTTCTCGGAATCAGTCTGAAAAGAGCAAACTATTTAAAAAAGTGATCAGTTTCACTTGGGTTTTACCGACTTTTTATTGTTTCTGCCCAAATTTGAAATAAACTTCATGCCATACTTGTTCAGTCTTCTTCTAATTGTACAGCAGTGAACTTCAGCATTTCCCATGCCAACTAAGCTGTACAGACTAAGATGTAGCTCTTGAGTTTTTTGCCGTTTTTCTAAGCATGGTCTGATCTTAGGGTGAATTTCCTGGGACATCCACTCCGTGGAATATTGTGGCACTGTGTGAACTCACACCTGCTCCAGTTGTGCAAACTACCAAAAGCCATGTTTTTATACAGGTGCTCACACTTATTGAAAATCACCTAATAAAGAGCATTAGATTAGAAGAACCTGGCTACTAACCTGCTACTCAACCACTTAACTCCAATGGAAGCACTAACTTTTCATACGACTGCATAAAGGCTTATAAAAACTATTTATTTTTCATTTTCCTCACATAACTGTACTTCACAGTAATGGCTGAAGTTCAATACATGGCTGGCCACGAGAAAAACGTTTGTGTGCAGCGAGCCATAGGAAATAATACAGAACAGAGTGATGTCGTTGTCATGTTGTATGTGAAGCGCTTTAAGGGTTCACCAAGAAAATGTTACCTTTTCTAAATAAAACTTTTTTCTTGGATGGATATTTTTTATTTCTCAATGAAGCAATAATCCATTTTCAGTAATCACAGGATTCCTCTGCACCATACAGTTAACCTACTTTCCTCAAGCTTAGCAGAATTTCTCATCTAGTGACTATACTAAGACAAAATACCAGCCATTGGGCCTTCTCTAAAATACGTCTAATGACTTATTAATCATTCTCTGACCATAAGATTGATGTTTTGTGAACACCTGGTGCAAACTTGCACCACGATGTGCCACTGGAACACATTGTTATTGTCATTAAAACTCTTCAATGATTCATGGTGTATAATTCTTTTCATTAATTTTAACCTGGAAACACTTGTAATTATCTTAATAAAAACCAAATGTGCATTTCAATAATAAGGACGTGACCCCGTGAGTTTTCTTAGACGCTCTCTTGCTACAGTTAAAAATCCTTCTGCCAGCTCCTGTCATTTCAATTTATTGCACAATCGCACGCTTGTGGCTTCAATTCTACCACTGCCAGTTGCAGAAGTTCAGGCCACATTCCACTTATTTGGAACTTTCAGAGTTAGGTTCACGCTAAAAATGGATGAGACAGAGCTGTGGTCTCTCTGAGGCCAATGTGCCTGCCTGAGCATCGAAGTCTCTTGTGAGACTGCGTACCACCTGTAACTTAACAAGGTGATCATCAGTGGTATGGCAGCTCAAAAATGCCCATCAAAAAGGATTGAATAGAACAATAGTAGCAACAGCATTATTTGGGGACAGAAGCATTATGCACACAAAACAAGTGGATAACAAAAGCAATGAAAAGCGTCATTTCTCTCAGCTCCACTCAGCATTACCACCATTGAAACAGAAATTATCTTTTGTTGGCTCAGCTTTTGATTACTGTCCTTAACCACAACAAGAGAGATGCTATTATCACAGGGCTGACATGACTGTACCAGTGAACAGACAGAATCTCTGTGGCTGTGTTATCAAGTACACACTTCAAAAATGCAGTTTTTTTAAGTATTAAACAACTCAAAGGCAGCTACAGTTAAAAAAAAAAAAAAGTCAAGCACACATCTTGTACTTCTGACAAATGATGGAGCTGACGAAGAGAGGTCGCAAAAATTAAAACGGTCAAGACTCAAACAGCAGCCAAAGAAACCATGAGCAAACCCGACAGATACTGAATCATTCAGCAAACTCACACCAGAAAATGTTAATTGAATAATGTTACTAAATGAGAACATCCTGTTCTGTTCACACTGGATTTAGCTCCCGTCCATAAAAGCAGGGACGCTTCTTCGAGCCTGGGAGCTACAGTCTGACAAAGTGCCTCCTCCTTTCCAAGAGGCTGACAGAAAAATTCAGGATGTGTCAGTCGAGGAAAATAAATACAGCCGGATCTGAAGAGACCACGTCCTTCACTCGACCCTGACAGCACTGGGCTGAAAGATCAAAGCAACTCTAAAGAGACCTCAAAACATGAAACTCCAGCGCTACACTGAATCAATTTGCTGCATTGTGACTCACCCTGGAGACTGAAAAACTTAATCAATTTTTCTTTTGACCAAAGGATATGCATTGATTCCCCCGCCAAAAAAAACAAAACAAAACAAAACAAAAAAAACCGGAAACCACACAGGGTACAGTCTTTACAAGTATTGGAGTTATTATACTCGTGTCACTATTATGCGGATAAATTATGAAAAGATGTCACGTACCAGCTGATGTCTGCTTGAACTTCTCGCTCTTCTTCTTTCTCCATTTCCAGGGCTTGAGGAGCCGCCCCAGAGTTGCAAACTTGCTCCGCCGACGGATGGGTGGAGTGTGGGTACCAGAGACCAAGGACTCCGAGCGCATGGCGGCAAGCCTCTCTACTTCCTCCGCTGTAAGGGGGAGAGAAAACAAAACAAAACAGATTTAGTTTAGGTGAGGATCCAGAGGAGGTGATGGATAGTCTGGATGATAACTAAAGGCAGCAAACACTTTTGTTTTTTAATATCCAAGCAGAAATAATCTGTGCCAAGCAGCCTCCAGAATTCAGCACTAACAAGATGAGGCTGAATAAGAGCATAAACAAACCTGCACATCATATGGCATTATGCAGGATTTGCTCTGGGTCTAAACAGTTCTAGGCTGTAGACTGACTGATGAGCACCTCATTAAGGGGGAATATTTCAGCTCTTCATCAAATATTCACGAGGCCCGGCCCTATAATCTTTTAAGTACTGTTTGACTTCAGAAGCAAAGAATGTTAAGTAATTTGCTCAAACACAAAATATTACATGAAGAAATAACTGCGAATGCAAACGGCTACAAACAGCACTTAAAATGTAACACCGAGAGGAAAGCTGACTGCTGGATAAGAATACAAAAGGCGGATGATTAATAACGAAGGGGACTCGAGCTGAAAATCTGACTTAAACCTACTTGGCAGCTTGTGAGATTTAAAAAAAAAAAGAAAAGAAAAAAGAATTACGCAATGCCAAAAAGCTCTTCTCTCTTCTCCTTACTTTAAAACCTAATCTTTAAACTTAGTCTTTTATGTAGTCAAAAAAACATTTCATCAGAATAGCAAAATATCGCAAATGCAACTGCGTGCAAGAACAGCCGATTAGTCAGGACAATGCATGTTTTTTTAAACTGCATTTTTTTTCTACTAAGCAGCCAGTGAGTTCCATTACTTTCCATACTTTCGAGATCAGCTCGCCTCGGTTGTTTAAATTAATCATCTCTGCATTTATAATTGCCAAAATACATCATTACTGAATGATAAATGTGCAGACTTTTCAAATCAGTTTGCACATGCACCCATACAGAAACTGCACAATCTTGCAGCGAGAGCAATTAAGACAAACAATAAACAGACATTTTTTTTTTTATTAGAATGAACAGCATCGCTTGGGAATGTCTTAGAATTCTCTCAAAACTCTTGGAAGCTATTAAAAAGATGACACAAATCACCTTTAAAGTATCTTATGAGCATGCAGCAGAAGCAAACAGAAAAACTCAAAAACCGCCAAAGAAACCCCCTAAAATCAGCAGTGTTAAAAGTCCAGAGCCTGGACGCACGAGGTGACCCTCTAGCACATCGTGTCACGTCTGTTGTCAATGTCACCCGGTTGCATCAGATCATCACCCATGACATGCAGTCAGGGAATCTGAGGGTGTTTGTTTGTTTGTTTATTCTTTTAATAATTGCATCACTTTTGCAATGTTTGCCAACACAGACATGCCGCTTAACAGGACAGCCGCCTCCCTGGGGCAATGAGACAGTAAATAAATGTGGCGATAATGCAGTGCTGAAATCAGTCCCACGGACCATTATTTGAATGCTCTGCAGCATCCTTGGAAATCCTTCCACCACAGCACTCTATAAATAACCCAGCAGTCAGTGTTAATTGAATCCAGGAGAGATTCAAATGGTTTCGTTAGCAGCCTAAAGGCCAGATAGAGACAGGAAGACAACGAGCTCTAAGTTGAGCCACATCCAGGAGCCAAGTAACAAGCTGCTGTACTGTATGACAGAGAGAGTGGCAGTAATGACTCACTGTTAGCAACTTCAGTGCTTAGGGCATTGCTTCATAACATTAAACACTACTTAGTGTTAAGTACCACAACCTTAACTCAAAAAGGAGTATGGGTTTGAAAATATATATTTATATATACTTTTTTTTTTATTATAATTATTTTTTAAATGCACACAATAGAAACTGCAGTAAAGCAGTTAGGCCTTCCTGTGAAGATGAAACCTCTGGATACTATCTCCCCACAGGTGTAGGTATCTCAGTGTGCACTCAAAAGCCCTCTTATCCCAAAATACAGTGTTTACAACCAGATATATTTCTTTTTTTTATGTTGTTGTGCTGAACTATTTAAAACCAGTACACATAGAATCAAAGTCTACACTGTAAATGTGTGATGATGCAATTGCAATTGTGAGAAAATCCTAAAATCTGCACAAGAAAAAATAAGGAAATCCTCTTCCAAGTGTCCAAATTCATTGGATTTTCCCCTTTTCTTCCTCTTCTTGACATCAGTCTGATTGCACGGCAGAATCCTTATAACCTACATTCTCCACCACTGTAACATGAGCAACTGATGCTGCTGGTTTTAATTAACAACACTTTTTTGCATGCCAAGATGGCTGAGTGATGATGTAATGACACCTAAGTGGGGGGAAAAATAGGCTTTGTGCAAACAGCCTGCACAGCTTCATGCTAGAGGTTAATACTGAGATCTAATGACAATAAAAAAACAACAGACGCAGCGTATTTTTGCGGTCAAACGACAATTAACAGTTCAAAATATGAGCAGCCCAACCCTGTAAGAAGTTCTGATCCAGTCAGAGGCAGTTTCCACAGCAGCAACAGTGATTCACTCTCCTTCAGGAGAGTGGTGTCATTTCAATGCACATCGACACTAAAATAATATAATCTATCCCTCGAAGGGAAAAAACACTATATCCTCAACTGTATCCTCACACAGCCTGCTTATCAAATCGCATATTAAAAAAAAAAACCCAAACAAAACAAAAAACAGAAGCAACGTAGCCATCTTCAGATGTGTGCATCCTGGATGGTAACAGCTACCGCAAACCTACTATGGGCGAAACCACACAAGGTTTGAGCCTACTCACCGTCCTGCGTGTCGTTTCCGCGGCTGCAATTGCTGCAAATGTGCTTTATCTCTTTCCCGATATGACAGTGGATCGTAAAAGGCATGGTGTTGTTGTTGTTATTGTGCGGATGCTGGCCGTGCCCCTTCTTGTTGTTCAGAGACATTATTTTGACCAAGCTGAACGCCTTTTTCTTAGGTTTCTCCACCGCCACGGGCGTGTTTTCTCGGCATCCCGTGGTAAACCAAGTGCCGTGCATGATGGTGGGCGCAGGATCCACGCTCGGGTAATTGGCCGTCTTGAACATCGGGAAGCGAAAACGGAGCGGTGCTTTAAACGGAGCGGCGTTACTACGTTGTGGGTTTAAATTAAAGGGCCATGGATCGAGTCCTACCTGACCTACTATAGCAGCTTCTAAGTATTTGGTCGCTTGTCTCTTCGGTAATCCCACACCTTTACCTGAGATCCCAAAATGTGCAGCCTACTTGGTTGCGCAACGCAGAAGACGCTGCTGCTGAGAGAGAGAGAGAACGAGAGAGGGAAAAAAAATCTGCTGCCAAATCCAAGAGAGCTAATAATAAAACCGAGGCTGAATGGCAGTGACTACCTTTCACTCCCAGAGCTGTAGACTGCAGTCGGTTGTGGCTAATCCACGATTAGAGGAGCTGAGGAGTGAGTGCCTGTGATTGGCTGCTAGGTACGCGCTTCTAATAGGCCAGCCTGGACGCAGGAAAAGTTGCTCCTCCATCCACAAGATCACAGTTAACTATTTCTTCTATTATTAAGCTGCCTAATATGACAGTGCCATTTGAAGCAGCCGCAAAAACCACAACACAAACTAAGTAACACATCTAAGCATATTAAGTATAAAACAATTTGTTGTGCTGTGTGTTTGGGTGAGATGGACATATTGATTTTATACTGAGAAGATCTCAAACATATTTAATCAAAATATTATTAAAATTACTTCACAAACTGAGATGACTGGAATAGTAATGGGTCCAAACACTTAGACGGGTGAGTGAATGTTAGACACAGTGATTCAAATGATAACAATGCTACTGATTCCCATAGTCAGTGCATCCTGCAGCTATGGAGAACTTTGTAAAACACAACAATATATATACACACAGTAGATGATGTCATCAAATGTAATAGCTTAAAAGCCATGCTGACATCATTCAGCTTAGAGAGCTTTCGATACAAAATACATAGTGAAACAATGGAACGTAACAAACCATGCAAATTAAGCACTTTAAGGCTGCTTCCATCACACCTATGTGCACACTTGCTGAAGGGCAGCAAAGATGACTGTAGAAAAAACCCCAACACCAATCTAATGCGGGCATGACACCAGACAAGTGCTGAGAGGTCAAATTAAAGAAACAAACAAAGGGAGTTTAATCAGTGATCTGAAAGCAGAATGAGAGGGCTCAACCTGAAGAAAAGAGGCATTATGATGCCCCTTCTTCAAATCACAAATTCCAAATAGCTACGCCCTTGATCCCCAAAGTTACTGTTCACATTCTGGAATAATTGATAGTATTAACAGGCGGTTAATAAGCCTTTAATTGTGGAAAAGATAACGGGAACCCCACGGCATTTCCAAACATGTTTCAAAGCAGCGCATGGTTGTGAAGCTGGGGTGGGGTGGGGGGTATCTTTGATGTTCCTTCAATGAGCTGCAGCTTATTCCACTGACATCAAAGCGCTCTCTGAAATGAGGGACAGAGTCACGCAGATTTACTCACACCACGGTGCAATGCAGTAGTTGCTCTTAGTTGCCTCTCTTTGGTGCAAAGTTTGTTTGCACTGATATGTGTTAAACTTTAGGACCCCGTGAAGCAGAGTTTTTCTTTTTTAATATACAAAACATTTTGCAACAAAGAGTCAGGGTTTAGCAGATAACAGGGACAAAATTATCTCCCTTACTATGCAAGGAAGATAACATTGCACCAAAGTGTGACTCTGTACAGTACATGCGTGCTCGCTATAGAACGAGGAGCAACAGCCCTGATAAACTCAAGAAACCTGCGTTGCTTTCTTCCTGTGCCGGCCTGATAACAGCATTCACTCTGTTTGCTGCCGCCCAGCCAAATAATTCTGATAGAGGAACACAAAATGCGCTTAAATCAATAGTGATGTGTGCCAAGACTCATGCATGCTAGCCTGTGTAATTCATCCTCAGCTTTTGTCTTACAAGAAACAAATCAAAGGCAGGCTATATGTTGGCTGCAAGGAAAGAATAATAACGTGTGTCAGTGTTGTTATGTAACTACTGTGTGACGCAGTGTTGGTCAGGGCTTCACATGACTCACTTTTAATCAGCTGACCACAGTTCATGCCTTTTGTGACGGGGTAAAATGTTCTCTTTTTGCTATCTTTCATGAGTTTTTGTTGTTTAAATGTTTGATTTCTTTCACTTGTTTCATTTCACTGGTCACTGTCTATGACAACTCTAGTTATGGATCTTGGGTATGCATTGGCTCCATAGTTATATTCAGCTTATTGGGACTTGTTCTTGCATAACCCCACTAGTGTTCGCAGTGACATTCAATAAAAATGACACACCACGTTGCTTACTGTTCATTACTTTAACTGAACCACAACCATAGGGTTTTAATTCTTTTATAATTTTTTTATTTGGCTTCTATCCATCCATTCAACCGCTTATCCAGTTCAGGGTCACGAGGAGCAGAAGCCTATCCCAGCTGCCATAGGACACTAACACAGTGTTCCATGCATTTCAGCATAAATCTCCAAGATGACTGTGACTCTTAAAAGAAAAAGACTTTCATGTTGATGACAACATACCTGACACTTGTCACAAACTCTCACAATAAACTTCAACTGTCAGAATAAGCTCAGGTACAGCTGCTGAGAAGTGTCTGCCAGTCTATTCCGACTCATGCTCCTTCTGATAGAAATGCTGGCTCACAGCACTGTTTGCCAAGGAGTTTCAGTAAATATTAGTTATCTGCTTTTTCCCCCCAAAAAACTTGTGAGGCTGTGTAAAATGTAAACAACATCAGAATGCAATGCTTTGCAAATCATTCAAACACTATTTATAACTGACAATGCAAGGTACAAAACCAACATATCAGATGTTTAAAGTGAAAAATATCAACGTTTTTGGGAAGAATGTGAGCTCATCTTGAATTTAATGCTAGCAACCCTCAAAAAATGGTACAGTGGCAGCCAAACACTAATTTTCAACCTAGATCTTGTGTAATTTGGCATAGCATGGCCTTTTCTCCCTGTTTCCCTTTCTCAAGAATGGTTTCTTGACAGCGATCCTTTCCCTGAGATCATTTCTGAGCAGCTTCAGTGAACAGTAGATGGATCAACTGAAGGTCCAGATGTATCTCTCAGATCCTGTGCCAGGTATTTGCTGGATTTATTCCTATTTCTTACGATATGACTTTTTGATACTGTTCACCTGCTATAGATAGTTTTCAGGCCTTCCAATTCTTCTTTTGTCCTCCACGTGTCCAGTTTTTGCCAATTTGAAAAAATAATAATAATAATTTAAAGACACACTGCACACCACACATGCTGAGCTATCGCAAGTTTTCAGCTAATATGTCTTTGGGAGTCACTTGTAAGTACAACCTTTTTTGCTGTTTTTTTTCCTCAAGACAGAGTTTTGTGACTCTGTTTATTTTATATTTTGGATTCTGGTTCAAACTGGTTTCCATGGCTGCTTTGCAGATTTTAGGCTAAACAATCTTACAACTTCCGACTGAGCAGCCTGTCACTACAAATCTGCTGTTCCCATTCTCTGCGTATCTCTCTGTCTCTTCCCATCTGTCATTCTCTCACTGCATTATTATCTGCCTCGCTCACTCATAGTAAGACAGCACCACATTTCCTTGACACAATCTAGAAGATAAGATGATAAAAGTGCAGCGCTTTGCCTTTTGCACATTTTTTTTAATTTGCCACGGGGAAAATGTGAAGGATTTTATGGAACCGAATCTCAACTCTTTTATGAAGTTCCTGGCTCCACCTTCTGAATTAAGCCATATCTTTTTTATCGCAGGCAAAAGAGTAATGTGACATGATTATGTAAAAATCCACAGACTGCAACACGTGTGAAACAATGTTAATTTATTTAAAACACGAGCACTTGTTATTTTGTTTGTCTTTGTAATAATTGTGCAGATACTAACCAGCTCAGCCACTTAAGCCGACAGAAGTGTTCATAGAAGTGGTCACTAAGTGTCAAGGATTGTGATAACATGCCTGTAACTACCCTCTAGTAAACTGAAAATAAAAAGCTGCTCACTTCTCATTTCTGTCATATTTCATTTCCCTTCTTGTCTTGTTTATCATACAATGTCTCCATAATTTTTCTTTATTGTTAATTAAACTGATGAGTTTTGAATGAAAGGTGCTGCCAGGATATGCTACATGTGGTAGGTGAAGTTAAATATAATTTACTCACTTGCATAAACTTAACAAAAGCAGCTGGGTAATTGCTTAAATATGAGTATTACTCACAGTAAAAAAGACTTTAGAAAAGTACATGCAGGTGTTACATTCTGCACTGTGTTGACACTGCAATCTGCTAGAAAACAAAAACCGAAGAACCTAAAATGAAATCATTGCAGTAGGAGGCATCCACTGCAGAGCTGCCCAGCTTTTTCCATGCAATAGTCTTTGCAATGCTGCCATCTAGTGGGGTCAGTTGGCATTTTGCCAACTCTAAATTCAAAGCACAAAAAATATTCAGTTTCGTCACCAAACATTTACCAAACATTTACACTGTGCAGTGACATTTATGGACTCCAAATGTTAAAATATCACGAACACTGTCTGTAATTTGGGGAAATATGATGATTTAACCCTCTCGCGTGCACGTTTGTGCGCCAAGACGCAGTGCGCAGAGTTACTTCCAAAGGAGAAGCGATGTGTTTCTGACCACCGGCTTCCATATTCCAGTTTTGCCATAGCTACGACGTTATTAGCAAGCAGCCATCTTCATTGCTAAATCAGGTTTTGTTAATTCAATTTTGTCCACTACAGCGCAGTGAGCGAGATATTAAAGGTAAGTGTTCAACACCCAACTAAGCATTACCGCTTCATCAATAAACGCCTAAGTTGTGCGAGGTGATGCAGCACTACAGTGAGTTTCTCCCGTTTGCAAGTATCCAAAATCCTTCTGCTGTTTCCATTTGTGCTGCTCGGCTCCCTGCCTCCCTGTTCCGTGCTTCTTATCGTCCCTCCTCTGCAGCTTGTGTCTGCAGCTCAGTGGGAGATAGTGAAGCAGGGAGCTGTGATGTACTACGCTCTGCTGGAGGAATTCATTATCACAGTGCTGGAAATAGTGCCTGAGCCCCCCCCCGCCCCACACACAGAGTACAGCTAGTTACCATGCACTGTACGTGCAAGGTAAGGAGTAAATGCGAATATAAAATAATAATACCCAATCTTGATGAAAACGTGGAAGGGGCCAAATTACAAATGACCTAAATGGACAAATAAAAGATAACTGTCAGTCATTACCAAGCCCTCACACTTTGCAACATATTTACCTTCATAAGTAAGTTCCTAAACTGTCTACTGCATCTGAAAGGGCAGGGGAAGATGGCTGGCTGAATGGATTAATTGGTAATAAACGTAACAGTGATCAGTAATGATAATCAAGCAGCCATTCTGCATAATTACTGGCAATGAGTAATTCCCTTTTAAGTGTCTGAATAATTTTTCTACAACCGCTTGGCTGATAGTTTGACCTATTAGAACTAAAGAAGCAATAATCCTCAAAGGCACAAGACCAAGCGTTGTCGATCACGTACTGCGCTACCACAGCGGA